ACCTCCACCTCCCGGGTTCAAGCAATTCCCCTGCTTCAACCTCCTGAGTAAGTGGGACTACAGGCACGTACCACCACACCTGGCTAATTTTTTGTATTTTTTGTATTTTAGTAGAAATAGGGTTTTACCATGTTGGCCAGGATGGTCTCAATCTCCTGACCTCGTGATCTGCCTGCCTTGGACTCAAAGTGCTGGGATTACAGGTGTGAGCCACTGCACCCAGCCCATCCCTGTTGTTTTTAAAGAAACAATCGCGAAATCTCGTCAGATTATCAGAAATAACATGGTTGGCCAGGTGTGGTAGCTCACGCCTGTAATCCCAGCACTTTGGGAGACCAAGGCTGGAGGATCGGTTGAACTCAGGAGTTTGAGAGCAGCCTGGGCAACATGGCAAAACCCCATCTCTACTTAAAAAAAAAAAAAAAAAAAAATACATGGTGGCACACACCTGTAGTCCCAGCTACTCGGGAGGCTGAAGTGGCAGGATCTGTTGAGCCTGGGAGGCAGAGGTTGCAGTGAACCAAGATGGTGCCACTGCACTCCAGCCTGGGTGACAGAGAGAGACCCTGTCTCAAAAAAGAAAAATCAATGCAGAGTCTAATACTTCTTGGGGGAATCAATATAAGTGAAAATAAAAGCATATTAGGAGTTCTGGATGTCTATGTGACTTAATCCCAGTATAATAATTATGGAATTATAAATATATCGATCCTACTTCTCAATCCATGAGAATTAAGGCTTTGGGTTTTCCGGAGGTATTTTTATATCCTTTGCTTTATTGAATTCTCTCAGTACCTCCAAGACTTAAAAACATGATACCAAGGAGGACATAGTCAAGACTGAAGGCACAGCCAACTTATGACCAGACAATATTAGACTAGGATTCCAGACCTGGGTGTGTAATGAGCTGCCTCCCACAACCGTGATAAAGCCTCCTGCAGGGAACAGCTCAATTGTCCCCACAAATGGTGACATCAGAGTGACACACAGGCCAGGATGTTCTGGTGGCGTTCCCCCAAGATCCGTGGTCAAGCCACGTGACATCCGATCCGTGGAATCACCACCACCACTTGTCTTCAAGGTCATTAAAATCCCAAGCACACTTGAGTTTCAGACAGAGCTCCTCCTGGGAGGGCTGCATCTCCTCTCTCACTACGCTGTGCAAGTCTTTTTGAATCCTGCAAAAAAAAAAAAAGAAGTAACTGAAGTTTAGAAGCAGTGAAGCACTTTAGAAGTAATGATTTTTTTTTAAAGGTTGAGGGGAAAATGTGCAGGTTTGTTACATGGGTCTATTGTTTGGTATATGAATGATCCCATCACCCAAGTGAATATTCACCTGACACGTAGTTTAACCCTTGCTTCCCTCCCACCCTCCTCCCTCTAGTGGTCCCCAGTGTCTACTGTTAACACTTTTTTTTTTTTTTTTTTGAGATGGAGTCTCACTCTGTCACCCAGGCTGGAGTGCAATGGCACGATCTTGGCTCACTGCACCCTCCACCTCCCAGATTCAAGCAATTCTCCTGCCTCAGTCTCCAGAGCAGCTGGGATCATAGGTGCCTGCCAGCACGCCCGGCTAATTTTTGTATTTTCAGTAAAGACTGGGTTTCACCATCATGTTGGCCAGGCTGGTGTCGAACTCCTGACCTCAGGTGATCCACCTGCCTCAGTCTCCCAAAGTGCTGGGATTACAGGTGTGAGCCACTGTGCCGGGCTACTGTCACCATCTTTAAATCCACATGTACTGATTGTTTAACTCAAACTTGTGAGAATATGGGGTATGTGGTTTTCTATTCCTGCATTAATTCACTTAGGCTAATGGCCCCTGGCTGCATCCATGTTGCCACAAAGGACATGGTTTCATTCCTTTTTAGGGCTGTGTAGTAGCCCATGGTGTATATGGACTACATGCTTGTGTGTGTTCCTCACGGCACTATTCACAGTAGCACTGACATTGAACCAGTCTAGGTGCTTATCAACAGCTGGCTGGAAGCAGTGAAGTACAGGCAGGGTGCGGTGTAAAGGGGCAAACTGATATAAAGCAACAAAGGTTTAGGCAAAAGTAATTGCCATTTTTGCCATTAACAGTAATGGCGGCCGGACACAGTGGCTCACACCTGTAATCCCAGTACTTTGGGAGGCTGAGGCAGGTGGATCACCTGAGGCCGGGAGTTCTAGACCAGCCTGACCAACATGGAGAAACCCTGTCTCTACTAAAAATACAAAATTAGCCGGGCATGGTGGAACACGTCAGTAATCCCAGCTACTCGGGAGGCTGAGGCAAGAGAATCGCTTGAACCCGGGGGGCAGAGGTTGCAGTGAGCAGAGATCGCGCCATTGCATTCCAGCCTGGGCAGCAAGAGCAAAACTGTCTCAAAAAAAAAAAAATGGCGAAAACCATGACTTTAAAACCACTGCATTCAAAGTAACAGCAAACAACACAATGACTTTGGCACCACCCTACAGAGAGACTAACAAATGAAGGTAACTTTTGTTTACCCTTTGATTGGGACCTCCCACCACCTGAGCCTAACCCACAGCTGTCAGGGAGAAGATCTGATGGCACAGGAACCCCTTTCCATAGAGAAAAGGCACAAGCACAAAGGCAGGGGATGAGAAAACCATGGTGCAGATGACACAAGGGACCTCGTGGGCAGGCCAGGGTAACTCAGGCCATTGTCACTGCGTATGAATAAATCCACGCACTTCTCAATCTGCATCTAGCAATTTTTGAAAAATAAAATCTGAGCATTCTACAAGAGGAGGTGAGGGTCTGGGCACCCAGTCAGGAGTCCCTTCCTCACACATGCATGACAGACAGCAGAGAAGCTCCATCGTTAATGGTCACTGTCCCAGAACCCTTTTTAAAACGCACCACTGAAGTGTGAAGTTGGCAACATCAAATCTTAAATCGAAAAGGTGCAGATTGTGACTCACTTCCAAAGAAGGCAAGGTTCCTTGGCGTCTGAGATGACTTCTGCTGAAATGTACCTAATAACTGTTAACTGCTTACCTTTCTCCATGCCCCCCAACTTTTTTGTTTTGAGACAGGGTCTTGCTCTGTTACCCAGGCTGGAATGCATGATCATAGCTCACTGCAGCCTTGAACTCCTGGGTTCAGGCAATCCTCCCACCTCAGCCTCCCAAGTTGCTGGGACCACAGCTAATACTTTTTAAATTTTTGTAGCGACAGGATCTCCCTATGTTGCCCACACTGGTCTTGAACTCCTGGCCTCAAGTGATCCTCCTGCCTTGGCCTCTCAAAGTGCTGGGATTACAGGCATGAGCAACTGCAGCCAGTCTGCTTACTTTTCTGATTTCCTTAGAATACTGGATGGGGTAGAGAGTATTCTAATTAAATGTTGTTCTTTCAGTGCCTCAAAGGGGCAACATAAAGCTTGGTGCAACCTCAGGGCCTTTGCACATGCTACTGAAACATCCGTAGTACATTCCACCCTTCATCTCTAGTCACCTCTCATGTTCCCTTCCTGATGTAGGGACTCCTCCTTCCAGCCTCCTTGGGACTCAGGATCAATGGCACCACCTCAGGCAAGCCCCTTGCTATTCTGGTCACCCTCCTGTCTCATCTCAACCCAGAGTTTCTTTCACAGCATTCGTGACAACAGAGATTGCTTTTATGTCTCAGACCTGTGATCTCCTGGAGGAGAACTCAAGACTTGTGAGGACAAGGCTCATGTTCATTTGTCTGTCTACCATGCCATGGTGCTTGGCCCAGAGTCGGTATTGAAAAAGAAGCCACGAGTTAATGGCTGTGGAGTGAAATGTAGAATAGGTACAAGAATGATAAAAACGAGCAGGCTCTCAAAATACCCAAAACTCTCCAGGACTGTACCATCCAGTATGAAGATCATTAGCCCTAAGTGGCTGTTAAGATTTAATTATTAGGTTGATGCAAAAGTCATTGCCCTTTTTGCCATTAAAAGTGATGGCAAAAACCATTAGTTTAAAACCACTGCATTAACAGTAATAGCAAACACCACAATTACATTGCACCAACCTAATAAAACTAAACATTTAAATTTATGTTAAAGAAAACAGGCCGCTAGCCAGGAGCCATGGCTCACACCTATAATCCCAGCACTTTGGGAGGCTAAGGCAGGTGGATCACCTAAGGTCAGGAGTTCGAGACCAGCCTGGCCAACATAGTGAAACCCTGTCTCTACTAAAAATACAAGAACAACAACAATAAATTAGCCAAGTGTGATGGCATGCGCCTGTAGTCCCAGCTACTGGGGAGGCTGAGGCAGGAGAACTGCTTAAACCAGAAGGAGAAGGTTGTAGTGAGCTGAGATCATATCACTGCATTCCAGCCTGGGTGACAGAGTGAGACTCCATCTCAAAAACAAAAACAAAAACAAAAACAGTCTGGGCACAGTGACTCACACCTGTAACCCCAGCACTTTGGGAGGCCAAGGCACGTGGATCACCTGAGGTCAGGAGTTCAAGACCAGCCTGGCCAACAAGGCAAAACCCTGTCTCTACAAAAATACAAAAATTAGTTGGTCATGGGGTCAGGCACGTGTAACCCCAGCTACTTGGGAGGATGAGGCAGGAAAATTGCTTAAATCGGGGAGGTGGAGGTTACAGTGAGTCAAGATGACACCACTGCACTCTAGCCTGGGTGACACAGTGAGACACTATCTCAAAAAAGGAGAAAAAAAGAAAACTACAGTTCCCAGTCATACTAACCATGTTTCAAGTTCCCAATGATGAGATGCCGCTAGTGGCTACGTGGCAGGTGCACAGCAGGGAGAGAGATCATTCCCACCCTTACTGGAAGTTCCATTGGCCAGCACTGCCCGAGGAAGCTGACTGCAATGGAAACCTGACGCATGCTCTAGAAGCCTAATCAATCTAGCCTTGTCCCTGTAGGTTCTTCCCCGAGGAAGCTGAGTGCAATGGAAACCTGACGCGTGCTCTAGAAGCCTAGTCAATCTAGCCTTGTCCCTGTAGGTTCTCGCCCGTGGAAAAGTCAGCGGGGATTACCCGAGTTTCTGCAGCCTGCATGTCGACTTTCTCAAAGCCTTACATAGCATCTTGACACCATCATGATCCAATTCGTTGCCTAGAAGATTCAGATTCACCAGGCTCTTACTGCTGCTGAGAACCGAGGAGAGATGCTGGCAGCAAGCAGTTGTCACATTGCATTTTGCCAACCTAGGGGCGGGCGGGAAGAAAGCATAACAGATAATCCTCTGAGACTGGAAAGTTAGTAAAGAGATATCACATCTACAGAAAAACTATTACTAAAACAGACTGCTTAAGAGTGGAGCACTTGCCCCCGTGCGGTGGCTCATGCCTGTAATCCCAGCACTTTGGGAGGCTGAGGTGGGTGGATCACGAGATCAAGAGATCGAGACCATCCTGGCCAACATGGTGAAATCCCCTCTCTATTAAAAATACAAAAATTAGCCAGGCGTGTTGGCACGTATCTGTAGTTCCAGCTACTCAGGACGCTGAGGCAGGAGAATTGCTTGAACCCAGGAGGCAGAAGTTGCAGTGAGCTGAGATCACACTACTGCACTTCAGCCTGGTGACAGCAAGATTCTGTCTTTAAAAAAAAAAAAGGGCTGGGTGCAGTGACTCACACCTATAATCCCAGCACTTTGGGAGGCTGAGGTGGGTGGATCACAAGGTCAGGAGTTCAGCACCAGCCTGGACAAGATGGTGAAACCCTGTCTCTACTACAAAAAAATACAAAAATTAGCTGGGTGTAGTAGTGTGAGCCTGTAATCCAATCCCAGCTGCTCGGGAGGCTGAGGCAGAGAATTGCTTGAGCCCGGGAGGCTGAAGTTGCAGTGAGCCAAGATTGCACCACTGCACTCCAGCCTGGGCAACAGAGTGAGACTCCCTCTCACAAAAAAAAGGAAAAAAAAGAGTGGAGTACTTATTCCATGCTGGGCACCTTTTAAATACTGACACGTAACTCATCTAACCCATCCATCAATCCTATCAAAGGCAGATACTATTTTAAACTGTATTTGATGGAGGGGGAAACAAAAATTTAACCTGGCAGAATGTGAAACAAACCATTTTAGTATACAATGGATATGAGTTTATTAGATCTCTGAAAGAACTGAAATAGCACTATTATTCCTGATTTCCACTTTTTTTCCATCTTATTTCTAAATTCAACAATACAAAATTTGAACATATGGTTGGCTAGCTACTAGAAACACAAAGACAAAAGTGAGAAAGTACATTAGATCAGTTTAACGCATCAGGAATCTCCACCTGAGTTCATAAATAACTATGACATGCTGGCCAGGCACCGTGGCTCATGTCAGTAATTTCAACACTTTGGGAGACTGAGGCGGGCAGACCACTTGAGCTCAGGAGTTTGAGACCAGCCTGGGCAACATGGTGAAACCTCATCTCTATAATAGAAAAAAATAGGCGAGTGCGGTAGCATACACCTGTTGTCCCAGCTACTCAGGAGGCTGAGGTGAAAAGATTGCTTGAGCCCAGGAGGCAGAGGTTACACAGAGCTGAGATCGCACCACTGCACTCCAGCCTGGGTGAGAATGAGACCCCATCTTTAAAAAAACAAACAAACAAACAAAGCCCTTCTTTTAGAAAGAAAAAGGTCAGAATGAGTCTCTCTCTTAAGGAAATAGTTCAGTAAGTTGCTTCATTAACTGATTCTTTTTAAGACGAACTTGGTTCAGAATGCATTTATGCCAAACTGTCTTAAATTTGGCACTGCAGATACCATTAACCTATTCATGTCCCTTTCAGGCCTATGAGAGAACAAGTCTAGTTTATGTTTAAACCAATGATTATTTGTGGTGTCTATAGAGTAGATTTAACAATCTCTGAACAGAGGTTTGAGGTGGCTGGTAAACCCCAGCAACGCTGGAGGTGGTTTACGGTTTGAGTCGGTTCATTTGATACTAACAAATCCTGAAGAACACCTTTTCAGAAAACATCACTGAGCTCTTGGATTAGCGAGCCCTGGAGCCGTTCCCTACAGGAGAAATGGCTGTCATTTAAGCCACATTTAGCAAAAACTCCTATGTTTCAGAGCAACTCATCTGAGTGTGCTGAGTCTACGTTGCATGACGGTTAACAACCGTGAAGTGGAGATTCACAGTGCGGAGAGCAGGCTGCACCCACCCACCAGCACCTGGCGCCCACTGTGGACGGATTGGGAGGAATAATACTTGCAGTGTACCGAGGACAGTGGTAACACGAGTGAAACACTTCTCTAAACGAGAAAAACTTCAAGCTTATCATGTAGCAGGAGAGATTTTTTTGTTTGTTTATTTTTTGAGATGGAGTTTAGCTCTTGTCCCTCAGGCTGGAGTGCAATGGTGCCATCTCAGCTCCCCGCAACCTCCACCTCCTGGGTTCAAGCGATTCTCCTGCCTCAGCCTCCTGAGTAGCTGGGATTACAGGTGCCCACACCTCTATACCTGGCTCATTTTTGTATTTTTTAGTAGAGATGGGGTTTCCCCATGTTGGCCAGGCTGGTCTTGAACGCCTGACCTCAAGTGATCCACCCGCCTCAACCTCATCATATGCTGGGATTACAGGCATGAGCCACTGCTCCCAGCTAATTTGTGTATTTTTAGTAGAGATGGGGTTTCCCCATGTTGGCCAGGCTGTTCTTGAACACCTGACCTCAGGTGATCTGCCCACCTTGGCCTCCCAAAGTGCTGGGATTACAGGCGTGAGCCACAGCGCCTGGCTGAGATTTATTAGAGGAGGACTTGTCCTTCCTTTGCCTCACTTTCTAACCCCTGATGGGATCCTGTCATTTTATCTCCGTACTCGCAAAAGTAGAGAAGGGAGACTCTGCGAGAAGAACAGCATCAACTCACCCAAGTGTGTGCAACGCACGATGTGAAGGTTTCAGAGCCTCACACAGTAGCTTCACTCCATCATCCTGAAGATCATTTTGTCCCAAATCCAAGATTTTCACGTTATGATTATGCTTGAGGGCATTAGCCAGCTCTCGACAGCCCTCTCTTGTGAAAGAACAACCTGACAAACTGCAAAATAGAAATGTACAAAAGGGGGGAAAGTAATGGTGTCCCGAAACTGTGCTGTGTTTACGCCTGCCCATCTCACGTCCAAGGAGAGGAGACACCCTGAAGCCAGACTTCTGTCCCAAGCCTCAAATGAGGAGGGTGCTGAGTCAGGAGGGCCGAGACACCTCCAAGAGCTCTATTTACCTGAGATAGAAAGAAAGCAGAGGGTACAGCAGTCCAGCCCTTTCCCACCCATGCCCCCCGCAGGTACATGAGTGTGAAGGGCCTCTCTGTGGTGGTTACCCCCCAGCACCCAGAGTTGGCTTGGTTATCACAGTGCACCATTCTCAGCCCTCGAGCTCAACAGTTGAGCTGAAGATACCAGGAATCTCCTATAATGGCAGGTCTGAATTTCCCAGAATAAATTACTATACCATAATAAGTTCAAGACAGTTAATCAAGGTGACTATTTGGAGAAAATATAGGATGAGGTGGGGAGGGATGAGAGAGGAGGGACAAGGAAAAGACAGGAGGAGAGAGGAATATTGGAAGGCTGATACCCTTATGCAGAGAAGGCGCATGGCGATCTAAAATCCTTAAATCCCCTCTCCCCTGCAAAAAAAGGTTTGGCCGGGTGTGGTGGCTCATGCCTGTAATCCCAGCACTTTGGGAGGCCAAGACAGGTGGATCACAAGGTCAGGAGATCGAGACCAGCCTGCCCAACATGGTGAAACCCCATCTCTACTAAAAATACAAAAATTATCCAGGCATGGTGGTGGGTGCCTGTAATCCCAGCTACTTGGGAGGCTGAGGCAGGAGAATCACTTAAATCCGGGAGGCAGAGGTTGCAGTGAGCCAAGATTGTGCTACTGCACTCCAGCCTGGGCAACAGAGCCAGAGTCCGTCTCAAAACAATAAATAAATAAATAAAAATAGAAACAGTTTTGACTATGTGAACAATGTCCAGTGGCTAAACCCTCAAAGGCCAAGTGTAAGAGAACTGCCAGCCTGATAAATGATACATGCAAATCAAAGACAGTCAGGTCTCCCTAGAGTTTACACATGGTGGTCAAAGGGTACAAAAATCTCAGCAGGAATATCATTTTTTTTGAGATCTATTGCATGTCATGGCGAATGTACTTAATAGAACATTGTACCTTTCAAAATTGCTAACACAATTTCAAATATTTTCACCACAAAAAAGTATTTGAGGTGATGGACACGTTAACTAACTTTATTCCACTTTATATTCATAATCTTAACACTTTGCACACCCAAAACATATACAGATGGTAAATTTACAATAAAAAGATTAAGCTTTTAAAAACAAGAAAGAATTCCCTTCAAGTGAGTAGGGAAAAAACAAAATGCAACTGGTAAAAAAAAAAAAAAAAAGTTTTTATCAGTGGTTGTCAGCATTTGAAAACATACTCAATTTCATTCTTATAAATGTGTTTATCACCCACGGGATGGGCCTCAAAATCATCTTAGAGGGAGAAATTAGTTCAACCATTGTGGAAGACAGTGTGGTGATTCTTCAATCTAGAACCAGAAATCCCATTTGACCCAGCAATCCCATTACTGAGTGTTGGTGAAGCTTTAATGAAAGGAGATAGGTCATAAATCAGTAATTGTTGAAGTTTGAGCATGGATTGGAGTATATGCTCTTCTCTCTACTCTTGCTTAAGTTTCAAATTCCCCTGGAAGAATAAAAAATCCATTGACCGGCCAGGTGCGGTGGCTCACGTCTTGGTACCTGCTAGATCACACATAACCAGCACCCAGTAAATACCCTGGGCAGGGGGTCTCCAATGGGCTGCCCTGGTAGACTGCACTTGGCATGATTGCCACAGCTGGTGGCTGGAGGAGTTGTGTGTCTTGTGTGATGTTGGAAATAAAGTTTGGAGTCTTAAGGAAAACGAGCACTCAGACCAAGGAGTTCTCAGCAAAGCAAATTTACTTCTGCCCAGAGGGATCCTTCTCTTTGGTCAGTGGCCCCGAAAGTGCATAGAACAAAGGAAAATCAAAGTTTTTATCCCTGATGCAAATCCTGACCCCGTGCCCTTTCCCCATTGGCTGGGGTCGAACCGCACAATCTAAACTAGACCTGATTGGCTAAACATCTGAACTTTCTCTTAGATAATGTGGGCCCGTAAGGGAGAAAGGAGAGAAGGCGAAGAAGTCTTCTGCGATGATGAGCTAGAAAGCCAGTTTTCTTCCCAAGTAAGGAAAGGAATGTGAGCTAACACTGAGAAGCCGCTGGAGCCTGGACATGTAAAGGTAGAAAAAGAAAAAGGAAGGGGAGGGGCACTGTGGATTAAAGAATAGAGGATTGATCAGGCTATTTGAAGAGAAACCTTGTCATATCCCACATGTAACTACATGGGGAAGAGGACTCTTGGGAGCTTATGTCTGGTTTCCTCTGGACTCTGTCCCAAGTCCCTTTCTCTTTGGTGATTTGCCTTGTGTCCTTTCACCCTGATGAAGTGTAGCGGTGAATACAACTCCGGGCTGAGTCCCCAGTCCTCCCATTGAAACATCAAACCTGGGGGCTGGTCTCAAGGTCCCCCAGACACATACACATTCACAGTCATCCCACTTTCCCCATCCCACACCCCCAACAAAACCAGAAGCTCCTCTATGGCAAAGAGCTTGTCCACACCTCACTCAAACCCCATCAGGAACTCAGGCATGGGTGCTTCAATTCCCCCCATTGCTCTCTTCCATCCACTCACTGAGAGGGAGCCAAGAAAACTTACTTCAGGCTCTGCAGGTTACAATCCGGGCGACCCAAGGCCTCACACAGGAACTTGACTCCCTCGTCTCCCAGGCGGTTCTTGCTCAGATTTAGGTGTGCCAGGCTCCTGTTCTGCAGGAGAGCATCTGACAAGTACCTGCAACTGGGTGCTCCCAGCTGGCAAAACCAGAGCCTGCAGGGTGAGAGCCACAGAGACAGATGCTCAGGGAAGCAGCCCAGATGGAGGCTCCCGGGGCAGAGCCTCAGGCCGCCTCCGAGTCTACACATGCAGCAGCTCCCTGGACCACATGGCCTTTCTTTTCCGCTGGACACCAACCCAGTCTATGCTAGTACCTTGCGTATCATAACCCTCCCTCGGTCCAGATTTCTACAGTGGGCACATCAAGTCTGTGCTTCTCATTAGTGATTGGTTTAGGAAAAAATAGAGAAAAAAACTTTTTTTTTTTTTTTGAGACGGAGTCTTGCTCTGTCGCCCAGGCTGGAGTACAGTGGCCAGATCTCAGCTCACTGCAAGCTCCGCCTCCCGGGTTCACGCCATTCTCCTGCCTCAGCCTCCCAAGTAGCTGGGACTACAGGCGCCCGCCACCTCGCCCGGCTAGTTTTTTGTACTTTTTAGTAGAGACGGGGTTTCACCGTATTAACCAGGATGGTCTAGATCTCCTGACCTCGTGATCCGCCCGTCTCGGCCTCCCAAAGTGCTGGGATTACAGGCTTGAGCCACTGCGCCCGGTGAGAAAAAAACTTTCAAGGCTCCAAGGTTCTGGAGCCAGTTGGGCACGGGTCCAAATGGGCTTGTCTGTCAGCAGCTGGGAGACCCTCGACAAGCTCCTGCACTCTTTTCAGCCTTCATTGCCTTCCGAAGTTCAGGAGGATGGTCTAGGAGAGAGCTGCCAGTGAGCCCATGAGCAGTGCGTGTGCTTGGGATGGCACTTGGCAAACAGGCAGTGTGCAGGTTGTAGAAGATTATGTCACTAATAGAGATGGCATATGTTAGATATGTATGTATTGCATAATATGTTTGTGTTAACATGTAAGTTTTATGAAAATATATGTAGTTATATACTATCATATATTAACTATTACATATATAATACACATATTACATAATACATATATCACTAAAATACATATTGAAATATATGTTACAATTATACATGTATATACATATAATTACAATTATATTACAAATTATAATTTAATAATTTGTTATATATAACTATATTATAATTAGTTGTAATTATATAATTACAATTATAATTGGTTAAAATTACAACATGTAATTATGTGTGTATGATCATGTTACAATGGGTAGAATTAACACAATTATAATTATACTAATTATTATTAGGGTTATACTTATATTAGGGTTTAATACTAATTATAATTAGTTATTATAATGGTGTTACAATTCTACGCATTATATTATCATACACATAATTACACACATGTATGATTAACTCACATTATACGTATGAATCACCTATAGATATTCCTGTTCTTGCAGACTCAGTGCTCAGTGGGCACTGGCCCTTTGCTACTTTGCCAGTTCAGAGTCCATGGTTCTCCAGGATCATGAATTTGGTGACACCTAAAGGCCCTTGGCCTTTCTGTTTTTTATACTCAGTCTTAGGAAGTTGTCCAGTCTCTGGAGAACCCAGCTTTCCCTCTATTCCACACCTGCACCACAGCAGCACAATGCAGCTAGAGAAAGGAGATCTAAAGAATCTCACTATGTGTCCACCACTGTATGGGGTCTCTCATCCTGGCACAGAAATCCTCTGGTAACATCTCACAGTCCTGCCTACAACTGCTCATGTAACATCTCTGCGTGGTTATTCGATAGGCATCTCAAGCTCCTATATCCCCAACCCAAACTCTTTTCACCCAGACCCAGCTCTGCCCGCAATCTTCCCCATGTTGGAGAATGGTCCCACCCTTTACCTAGCTGCCAACCTCACCCTTTGGGAGGTGTTCTTAGTACCCTCCCTCCTCAACCACCTTGAATCCATCAGCAAACTCCATTGGTTCTACCTTCCCATCTATCCTGAAATCCTGTAACCTCCCCACGGGCCACTCTCTCCTGGTCGATAGGAGCCCCATCTCTTGCTCATACTGGTCTTTTTGTCCAGACTGTAGTCTACCTGTCAACAGCAGCCTGCACGACCTTTCAAAGTAGGTCAGATTACGGTCATGTCCCACTTCCAATCCAAGGATGACTTTCTATCTCACCCCAGACAAAACAGATTCCTACACAACCCAGCATGTCCCAGGCACCTCTATCTCCTCCCACTATCACCCTCACTCACTTTACTCCAGCCATGCTAGCTTCCTCATTGTTTTTCCAACATACTGTGCTCATTCCAACCTCACGCCTTTTTTTGAGACGGAGTCTCACTGTCATCCAGGCTGGAGTGCAGTGGTACGATCTCTGCTCACTGCAACCTCCAGCTCCTGGGTTCAAGCAATTCTCCTTCCTCAGCCTCCTCAGAAGCTGGGAATACAGGCACATGCCACACACCAGGCTAATTTTTTTTGTGTGTATTTTTAGTAGGGATGGGGTTTCACCATGTTGGTCAGGCTGGTCTTGAACTCCTGACCCCGTGATCTGCCTGCCTCACCCTCCCAAAGTGCTGGGATTACAGGCACAAGCCACTGTGCCCGGCCCAACCTCAGGCCTTTCACTCTGCTGTTTCTTCTCTGCATACTGCTGCCTCCCCTTGCTTCATCTGAGTGTCTAATTTTAGTATCACCTCTTCAAATAGGTTGGTGAGAGAAGACCCTGCTGGGAAATCAACCCCATCCCCGTCATTCTATTCTCGTTCTGCTTTGTTTTTCTTCATATCTATTGTTTTGTTTTTATATGTCACTCTTAAAACTTTATCTTCCACCTATGGGCAGGAAGTAAATGTCATATCTACCACCCCAGCCTTGAGTCCTTGTTCTCTCTCTGCTAAGAGCTCACATATGGGTTGACCAAAAAATTCATTATTTCCTGGGGTCCTTGTGGAAATTAATTTTCTTGGCATAAACTCCAGAGATGGAATCAACAGATCTAGGATGCTACTCGGAATCTGTTTTACAGCAATTCCTGGCACACAGTAATTACTCAGTGAATGTTACTTTTTAATAATGTAAATAGATAGCAGATGAAGAAACCATTATTCTTGGTATCTGTGCCCATAGAGTCATTTCTAGAAACGGAACCAGGGAAAACTTACTCCAGTCTCTCTAAGACACACTTGGGGTGAGTCAGGGCCGCACACAACAGCTTGATGCCGTCATCTTGGAGCTGATTAAATCCCAGGCACAATCGAGTTATGTGTTGGATGCTGGTGAGAAACAAGGCCAGGTCCTGACAGCTGGCCGCCGACAGGCTACATTTCTCCAGGCTGTGGAAGTTGCGGGTACAAGGTGAGCCTCAGCCATGATGCCCAGGTTCCTCTACTTTTCTCTCTCAACCCCTTAACCCCCGAGACCCAAACACTACGGGAAGATTAAATTGGAGAAAGAACAAAAGCTTAAAGGAGAAAAAGGGCCAGGTGCAGTGGCTCACGCCTGTAATCCCAGCAGTTTGGGAGGCCAAGGCAGGCGGATCACCTGAGGTCAAGAGTTCGAGAAGAGCCTGGTCAACATGGTGAAACCTCATCTCTGCTTAAAAAAAAAAAAAAAGGCTGGGCATGGTGGCGGGCACCTGTAGTCCCAGCTACTCAGAAAGGCTGAGGCAGGAGAACTGCTTGAACCCAAGAGGCGGAGGTTGCGGTGAGCCAAGATTGCACCACTGCACTCCAGTCTGGGTGACAGAGGGAGACTCCATCTCAAAAAAAAAAAAAAAAACCCAAAACAAAACAGTGAGTCAAGGTAGGATTTTCTCAGCCCTGCAGAGGTGTGGGCTGGATCACACTTAGCTGCAGAATGACAGCACCACCCTGTACATTACAGGACATCAGTAATAACCAGCCTTTACCCACCAGGTGTTACCCACTAGTAGCATCCCCCGCACCATCGTGACAACCAAATATGTTGTCCACGCATTGCCAAATATCCCCTGGGGGAAAAAAATCAAATCATCCCCAGTTTCAACTAATTTAACAGAATTCAGTTGAAAACCCCTAGATCTGGGGAGGATCAAAGAAGCCTAAGGAGATCATGCAAGGAAAGGCTGCCGGGTGAGACAGCCATGATCAAAGTGAGGGAACTGGCTGGAACTGAGACCTAAGGTGGTGGGAAGAAAGAAGAGGCCAGGTGCGGTGGCTCACGCCTGGAATCCCAGCACCTTGGGAGGCCAAGGCGGGGGGATCACTTGAGGTCAGGAGTTGGAGACCAGCCTGGCCAACATGGTAAAACCCCATCTGTACTAAAATTACAAAAATTAGCTAGGGATGGTGGTGTGTTCCTGTAATTCCAGTTATTCTGGAGGCTGAGGTGGGAGAATCGCTTGAACCCAGGAGGTGGAGGTTGCAGTGAGCTGAGATTGTACCACTATACTCCAGCCTGGGTGACAGAGTGAGACTCCATCTCAAAAAAAAAAAAAAAAAGAAAAAGAAAAAAAAAAAAAGGATAGACGACCGACAGACAGACAGACAGGTAGAGAGACAGACAAACAGACAGAGACAGAAACAGAGACAGAGAGACAGAGACAGACAGAGATATAGAGAGATATAGAGATAGAGAGATAGAGAGAGATAGAGAGATAGATAGAGAGATAGAGATAGAGAAAGAGAGAGAGGAATAGAGATAGAGAGAGAAAAAGGATAGAGAGAGATAGAGAGAGAGAAAGATAGAAAGAGACACAAAGATAGAAACATAGAAACATAGATACATAGAAACAAAGAGATAGAGATGGAAATAGAGATAGAAAGAAAGAGAAAGAGATAGAGAAAAAGAACGAACGAAAAAGAAAGAGAAAGAGAAAGAAAGAAAGAAAGAAAGAAAATAAGTATGTCAATGTGACAAGTAAAGACAGTAGGGGGATCCCTGAGGTTCCCCAAAACATGCCCTACTGCCACCCCCGCTGTGCCACCCCAACTTGCAAGGAAGATGCTTTGAGAAGGCCACAAGACTTACGACAGCTGCTTGAGGGGACACGTTGGTAGCGTGGAGGACTCCCTCAGGCTTTTCACATCAGAGAGATCATTGTCCCCCAGGCTGAGGAAGCTGAGACTCGTGTTCTCAGTGAGTTTGAGAAAGAGCTGACAAGTCTGGTGGGTCAGGCCACAGGACTCCAACCTATCACAGAGACCCCGAGACAGACCGTTACTCTCCGAAAGAGTGATCTGCGTTTACAGAGCCCCCTGCTCCATGAATGAAAGCTGACTTTCTCCCTCCTTCTCTCTTTCAGAGGTTGGATGGCCTGCATGTCAACGCTACTCAAAGTGTGGTCCACGATCCAGCAAGGGCAGCATGACATGTAGCCTGTTAGAAGTGCTTATTCTCAGGTCCCACCCCAAATGTGCGGGATCTCTGCAGTTGAGTTCCTGGAATCTGCCTTTTTTTTTTTTTTTTTTTTTTTTGAGTTGGAATCTTGCTCTGTTGCCCAGGCTGGAGTACAGTGACACAATCTCGGCTCACTGCAACCTCTGCCTCCCAGGTTCAATCGATTCTCCTGCCTCAGCCTCCTGAGTAGCTGGGATTACAGGTGCATGCCACCATGCCCTACTAATGTTTATATTTTTTAGTAGAGATGGGTTTCACCATGTTGGTCAGGCTGATCTCGAACTCCTGACCTTGTGATCTGCCCACCTGGCCCTCCCAAAGTTCTCAGATTACAGGCATGAGCCACCGCGCCTGGCCTGGAATCTGTATTTTAAAATACCCACTAGGTGGGGCCAGGCACAGTGACTCACGCCTGTAATCCCAGCACTCAAGAGGCCGAGACAGGCAGATCGCTCGAGTCCAGGAGTTCAAGACCAGTCTGGACAACATGGCAAAACCCCATCTCTACAAAAAGTAGAAAAATTCACTGGGTGTGATGGCACACACCTGTGGTCCCAGCCACTCAGGGGCTGCGGTGGAAGGACTGCTCGAGCCAAGGAGGCAGTGGTTGCAGCAAGCGGAGATTGCATCACTACATTCCAGTGTGGGCAACAGAGTGAGACCCTGTCTCAAAAACAAAACAAAATAAGAAATAACCTCCCCCAATGTGAGGCTGATACACATTAAAATTTGAGAACCACTGCTTCGCACATAGGAACATTTTCCTTTGCTCATTTCTCTGTCTCCTTTTGCTAAAATGCTGAGTGCTGTCAGCCCTCCCAATGGATCGTGGAAGCGAGGGGTAGTCTTGCAACCCCCCTTGACAGATCTAGGGAGCCAGAGACTTACCACAGATACTTGAGGTTACAAGCTGAATGTTTTAAAGCTTTAAGAATCAGGGGGACAGTCGCTCCCAGCTTGTTAGAGCTGAAGTTCAGATGGGTCAGCTTGCTGTTACCCTGAAGGACAGGAATGAGGTCCTGCAGAACCCACTCAGGAGTTACCGATTTGCACCTGAGGAAGGGAAGGGACATGGAAAGCTGGACTGGGGGAGAAGACTGGTTTCCAGGATCCCGTCTGCCTCCTCACCCTGCCTTCTACCACACGCACTGCCAAGGTTATACAGGGTACACAAGGCATCTAAAACAAGGGCTGAACCATGGTACTGAACCTTGAAAATGAAAACTAACATACTCCCCTCAAAAATCAGTAAACTCAGTTGCATGTACGAAGTGAGGAGTCCCTCCCTCCCTCTCCACCTCTCCTAGAGATCTGCCATGAAGAGGTCCTGGGGCCACCTACTCTTCTAGGAGTAGGTGTATTGTATGTGTGACCCCCCGCTACACACATACAATCCAACCTAGAAAGAAAAACTCAAGCCCAGCAAGAATAACTCTCTTGCATTTTCTTGAACTTCTTTCTCCTTATCTTGAGAACTAAATAAGACCAAAATTTTAATATTAAAAGAAAAATTTAAAAAGAAGACTGCCCAATCCCATTACTGGGTATATGCCCAAAGGAACATAAATTGTTCTATTATAAAGACACATGCACATGTATGTTCACTGCAGCACTATTCACAATTGCAAAGATAGGAGATCAACCTAAATGCTCATCAATGATGGACTAAACAAGAAAATGTACCTATACACCATGGAATACTATGCAGTCATAAAAAAGAATGAGATCATGTCCTTTATGAGAACATGGATGGAGCTGGAGGCCCTCATCCTTAGGAAGCTAATGCAGGAACAGAAAACCAAATACTACATGTCCTCACTTATAAGTGGGAGCTAAACGATGAGAACACATGGACACAGAGAGGAACACTGGGGCCTGTTGGAAGGTGAAGAGTGGGAAAAGGCAGAAGATCGGGAAAAATAATTAATGGGTACTGGGATTAATATCTGGGTGATGAAATAATCTGTACAACAAACCCCATGACACATATTTACCTGTGTAACAAACATAAAGTTGTACCCATGAACTTAAATGTATTTTTTTTTTTTTTTTGAGATGGAGTCTGGCTATGTCGCCCAGGCTGGATGGAGTGCAGTGGTCAGATCTCAGCTCACTGCAAGCTCCGCCTCCCGAGTTTATGCCATTCTCCTGCCTCAGCCTCCTGAGTAGCTGGGACTACAGGCACCCGCCACCACGCCCAGCTAGTTTTTTGTATTTTTTTTTTTTTTTTCAGTAGAGACGGGGTTTCATCGTGTTAGCCAGGATGGTCTCGATCTCCTGACCTCGTGATTCGCCCGTCTCGGCCTCCCAAAGTGCTGGGATTACAGGCTTGAGCCACTGCGCCCGGCCAACTTAAATCTATTTTTAAAAAATAAATGAAGGCCACAGCCCCTATTCCTGCCTCTCATGAGTTTGGTCCAGCTCACTCAGTACCACTGAGGTTTGAGGAAAATTCTGATCAAACCTTTCACTCTTAACTGGTTGAATCGATGCACGCATCTAGGCTTTAGACCTGGAAAAATAAGACCTAATGGTGGGCGAAAACCAAGGTAGAATTCCTTGGCCTAGATGCCAGATCATTCAGACAAATCCCACCTCAGATTCAACGCTATGCATTTCTCTATAGTTTTCCCCCCTTAATTGTTATGCAAGGTCCACCTCCATTTGCTAATTTCTTCCTATTTTCAAGCCAGATCTGAGACCCTGTCATTCATTCCTCCTTGGATCATATTAGCAGGGGACCAATACGCTTCCGTCCATAGCTGTCCTCCAGCTCTGGAGAGGACACTCCCCCTGCTCACCTTTATTTTAAAAGGTTCTGTTTTTAATTCACATACTTTTTCCCTTTTCTGCAGCTCATCTTTCTCCATAATTCATCCCAGGACAAGCCTAGAAAACCCTGGTGTTGCCTTCAAGAGGAAGGACATATACATCAAATGCAGCAGTATGCTGATAAATGTTACCCCTGGATCTCCAGGAAAAAAAAAAAAAAAAAAAAAAAAAGTCCTAATTTATAGCTTTGCCAATTTCTGTGGTGTAAATTCTCCAAGCCGGTCATGGCCAATTTCGAACTGCCCACTTGCTGTCACTAAACAGAGTTACAAAGACAGGTACACACACAAGTAGCTCTCACCAGCTTGTAGGAGCTGGCTGCAACATGTCACTGGACAGAAATAAATGTATAGAACTGGTAATAGAAGTCCTGACGGCTTTCTTGATATCATTTGAACATACTAAGTACATTCTCCTCATGGTGCCTTCTATCTTGTTTTCTTGTCTTGGAATGTTTTCCCCCAGGTATCCATGGACACAGTCCCCCCTCCTCCCCTACGCCGAGTCACGTCGGTCTTTACTCAAATACCTTTTCAGTGAGGCCCTTCTGCCTTTCCTGCTGAAAACATGCAATCCACCTTCCTCCTCACACATCCTTTCTGAGCCTCCAGTTTTCTTCAGGAGATGCCACCCTCTTGGGTCCTATTGTGATCATTTTGTTTGCTTCCCTGACACAATGTAAGATCTCCGACAGCAGGAGTCATCTGTTGGCTTCACTGCTAGAACCTCCGAACTGAGAACAGAACCTGGCACATAGGAGACGCCCGGTACTCACGGAAGGCAGCAGTGACCCATCAAACGCTACCTACTGTTGCTTAAGACACGAAACCGTCTCAGACTACACGTGTCTACAGCTCCTCTTGAGTGCTTTGACTCCACCATACCCTTGAGGTTTTCTACTCCTTCAAATCCAGCTCAAAACAGCAGGACTGAGGCCCTAGGGAAAAATTACTTTGTCTACAGGTACCTCTAGCGTGAGATCATTCCTGATAGATCGGCATTTTAAAATTTCAGCCTGCTTCGCCTAAGTAGCAGCTTCTTAAATATAAACACAGTTTATTGTATCCTCCTGAGCACCTAGCTTGCCTTCTGGCAAATAGGTAGCCATAGGTTGGATGGCCTGCATGTCAACACTACTCTAAGTGTGGTCCACGATCCAGCAAGAGCAGCATGATGTGGTAGCCTGTGAGAAGCGCTCAGGTCCCACCCCAAACGTGCGGGATCTCTGCAGTTGAGTTCCTGGGAATTTTTTTTTTTTTTTTTTTTTTTTTGAGATGGAGTCTCGCTCTGTCACCCAGGCTGGAGTGCAGTGCCGTGAACTTGGCTCACTGTAAGCTCCGCCTCCCAGATTCACGCCATTCTCCTGCCTCAGCCACCCAGATAGCTGGGACTACAGACGCCCACCACCACGCCTGGCTAATTTTTTGTATTTTTTAGCAGAGACAGGGTTTCACCATGTCAGCCAGGATGGTCTCGATCTCCTGACCTCATGATCCATCAAAAGAGAGAAGTTATACTTCTCAAAAGAGAAGTAACTCATCAAAAGAGAGAACTTGGGTGATTCTCCTAGGGTATCCTCTTGAGCTGCTGGCGTCTCACACTTACGTCAGTTTCTGGACTTTGCATCTTGGATTTTTCAGTGCAAGACAGAGACCCTTCACAGAGGAAGCATGAAGTTTGCTGTTACTCAGGTCTAGCTCATGCAGATTCTCATTCGTGACCAATGTAGAACAAATACTGTTCCAGGCGTGCATCCTGGAATCAACCTCGCTTGTCCTTCATGAGGGAGAGAGAGAACACCGTAAGAGCAAAGTAGCCTCAAGCAGCACCTGGAACACCACCTACGGGACACAGAAAGAAGCCCTAACAAAATTATTACAATTTTCCTAATGGGGCTGGGTGCAGTGGCTCACGCCTGTAATCCCACCACTTTGGGAGGCCAAGGCAGGAGGATCACTTGACGTCCGGAGTTTGAGACCACCATGGCCAACGTGGTGAAGCCCCATCTCTACTAAAAACACAAAAATTAACCAGGCGTAGCAGTGCATGCCTGTAATCCCAGCTACTTGGGAGGCTGAGGCAGGAGAATGGTTTGAACCTGGGAGGTGGAGGTTGTAGTGAGCTGAGATCGCACCATTGTACTCCAGACTGGGTGACAGAGCGAGACTCTGTCTCAAAAAAAAAAAAAAAAAAAGACCGGGCACAGTGGCTCACACCTGTAATCCCAGCACTTTGGGAGGCCAAGGTGGGCTGATGACAAGGTCAGGAAATCAAGATCATCCTGGCTAACACAGTGAAACCCTGTCTCTACTAAAAAATACAAAAAGTTAGCTGGGTATGGTGGCAGGCGCCTGTAGTCCCAGCTACTCGGTAGGCTGAGGCAGGAGAATGGCATGAACCCGGGAGGCAGAGGTTGCAGTGAGCTGAGATTGTGCCATGCACTCTAGTCTGGGCAACAGAGCAAGACTCCGTCTCAAAAAAAAAAAAAAAAAAAAAAAAGAAATTTCCTAATGCAATGGGCTCTGAATGTTAAGAGTAATCGAGTATTAAAGTCATAAATCAAGCTTTTTATTTCACAAGAGATGAGGGAAGTAAAATAGAAGAAACATTTCTTAAGTACCTAAAGGGTATATGCAGTTATACCCCGCAGGCCCACAGCTGCAGCACTGTTAAGAGTCATGTTTCCAGTTTTGGCAGAGGTGGGTGGGGGTGGGGCAGGGGGGGTTGTGCACACACACGTCCATTTTCAAATGAAGATTTCTGGGGCCCATCTCATATCTCTTAATCAGAATATCCCCAGGATAGGAAATGAAAACTGAAATCAATGTGCAGTTTAATGTCCCTGTACTCAGCCATCCCGGACGAAGCATACAGGCCTGTTTTTGTGCCAAATAATACTGAAAACGGACAAAAACACCTTCACTACCTGCTCCAGGAAAGAGCTGCTCTTGGAAGATAAGACTAGGAGCCAACTTCCTGGCTTACTGACCCATGCTAATCCTCAACACTTGCTTCAAGACTCTGGCCCATCAATGCAAGGCAATTATCTGAAACTCTGTCCAATCCAAACCAATTCTCTTTCATTACCCACCCTAAAACTCACCCACCTTAAAAATCATCCAGCTCAGGTTCTAGAACTCTATACATGTCCTCCTCCGACTTCGTGCTTCCAAGACATGACTAGACTCTATAAGGTATCTCTCCTTTACTGAAGTAAAAATCATAAGCTTAGTTTTGCAGGACCTCATTCTTGTCCTTCTGGGTTACAGCAAGCTGACCCATCTGAACTTCAGCTCTAACGAGCTGGGAATGACTATCCCCCTGATTCTTAAAGCTTTGAGACACTCAGCTTACAACCTCAAGTATCTGTGGTAAGTCTTTGGCTCCCTAGATCTGTTGGGTGGGAGGGCGGGGGTTGCAAAACCACCCCTAGTTCCCATGATCCATTGGGAGGGTTGACAGCACTCAGCACTGTAGCAAAAGGAGACAGGGAAATGAGCAAAGGAAAATGTATCTATGTGTGGAGCAGTGGTTCTCAAATTTTAATGTGTATCAGCCTCACCTGGGGGGTGGTTATTCTTTATTTTGTTTTTGAGACAGGGTCTCACTCTGTTGCCCAGGCTGGAGTGCAGTGATGTGTTCTCCACTCGCTGCAACCACTGCCTCCTTGGCTCAAGCAATCCTCCCACCACAGTCCCCAAGTGTCTGGGACCACAGGTGTGTGCCACCACACCCAATTAATAACCACTCAGTCATGGGCATTCAGTTACATACGAGTAGATGTCTTAGCATAATGCCTGGTACTTAAACCTTCCATATTGTATGCCTAAGATATAAAGATCTGTCTGTAAGTAGATCAATTAAATTAGCTAGGAAACTAGATGATGCCTAAAGGACAATATTCTTTCAAGCTGGAGCTGCTCCAGACCATCTGGTCAGAAATAAGCATGAATACAGAACGACAACACATCCCTGGTTTTGCATGAAAGAATTTGCACAGAGCCTGAGAAAATAGGAGAAAGTTGAGAAAGAAATGGTTTGTAATACTCACTCCAGAATTTCCAAGTCCCTTTCAAGGATGTGACTGCTAACAGAAAGCCTTAGCTTATTTAACCTTTTACAGTGCTTTAGGCAAAATGAAGAAGCTTGGAGTTCTTCGTCCCCCGGAATATTAAGGTCAACTTCAAAGATATTACCCAGCATCTTCTTCGCCAAGTCTTCCTCCTGGGACTCGTGTAGGCAGTGAAAAAGTTGTAGAACATGAAATTGGAGAGAGGCACTTTCAGCCTTACCTAACTCTTCTCCCCACTTTAATAATTCCTCCATTACCCTGGGAGACATTTTACAATGCAACGTATCTTCCAGTTCTCTTGCTAGGTTTTTTTTAAAAAGACCGAAGAAGAACAGAACCACTGGAGTCCAGTAGGCTTCTTTGTTAAGCAAGACATCTCGCAGTAATATCTTCATCTCTTGTGGCTTCGTGGAATGGGGAAGGAGTTCTCTAGGTTCCTCTAGCACGAAGGACATGGCTGCAAAAAACTCCTGGAAACTTAGGTGGGTGAAAGTAATGCAACCCCTACAGTCGTTGCCTTTTTGAATAATATTGAACTTGTAGAGACAATCAATGAAAGGCACTTCCAGGCCCTCGAGCTCAGTGTCTTCTCTGTCAAACGTGAAGTTTATAGACCACAGCCCCTCCATGGCCAGATTGCAGAGGGCCCTCCATTGTCCTGGCCAGCTTTCATCTGCCAAATCCACCTCTGCTGTGGAGAACAAGTTGGAGAAAAAATAGGCATACAGACTGGTGGTGGTCTGTGTGATTGACTGGAGATCATAATACCTCACCTTCGACAGCTTCAGACAGGAACATACGGTCCAACACACCATGGGGGCACTGCAGGAATGAAAGAGATTTTCGTTTTTTCTTATCTGTTGCAGGATTTTCTCAACCTCCCTTGAGTCTTCAAAGTGTCTCATGAAATATACCCACAGGTCTTCCTCTGTGAACCCTGTAATTTGTACAAAGCAGGGATTCACTAAGGAGGGCTTAAGATCTATCACAAAACAGTTCTTGATCGTGATCAGTAAGGTAGCCAGGGGAACCAATTCTTTCTTCACCAAGCTGAGTAGGATTTTGGTTACCGGGAGCTCCTGGTACCAGTCTGTACATGGTGAGCCATCATTCAAGCTCTCAGAGCTTGGCTCAGATATGATTATTTCCTCAAAGCCATCAATAATAAACAGGAGCTTCTCTGGTTGAGACATGAACTCTTCAATGGGGGCATCGGAATCAGGCCAATCCAAAGAAATCAATTCAGCAAAGCTAGTTTCTTTCATGTACCTTATTTTATGGCAGCTGAGAAAGAACACATAGGAGAATTTTTCCTGAAAGAGAACTCCATTTGCCCAGTGCAGCATAGCCTGCATTGCCAAGGTGGTCTTCCCAACCCCTGCCCTCCCTACCACGACTATCGTCTGAGCCTGGGTTCTAGTCCTCTTAGGATCCAGTAGGCGCTGCAGTTCCTCATGTTCACCCTCTGATGTATTACGGATATATACGTGGTCTTTAGGCCAATCGATTTTGTCCCATGTCTCCAAAAGTTTAGCCGTCATCTTCTCTCTGTATTTTCTTCTGTGGTCTAGAGATGGGGAAGGGGGGAGAACAATGGTAAGAATAAGTTTCAGAATTAGGAATGATTCAATTACAAAGTTCCTACCCCAAAGACTTGAATAAGATAAACCCTGCCTTCCCAGGTTTTGTGGGAATGCAGTGGTAGAAAGTTACAAAAGGAGGCTGAGGCAGGAGAATGGCGTGAACCCGGGAGGCGGAGCTTGCCGTGAGCCGAGATCGTGCCACTGCACTCCAGCCTGGGTGACAGAGACTCTGTCTCAAAAGAAAAAAAAAATTGCAAAAGGTGAAGACAGTTAAATAATTTGATGGTATACACAAATGAAAAATACACAACAATGTAAGAGATCAAGAATACCTTTAGGAGAGGGCAGAGAAGGGATCATAGTGAGAAGTCTCTCACTGGAGGAAAATACACTAAGAGTGGAGAAGAATCATCAGAAGAGAAGTCAGTCTGAAGTCCTTTCAGACAGGGTGGAAGGCCAAGGTGAATGCCTACCCAGAATTTTTTCTGCAGGCCCCTTGAGGGTGCCTACCCCGTTCTCTGACCAGCTCAGAATCCCAGAAACACCTTCTAGCCAGTAGAGGGGGCCCCATGAGCCCTCCTCACTCACCAGCTATCAGATTGTATCTCACTTCCTCGAAACACTTGAGGGCAACAAGGGATTTGGGCAGATGAGAGTTCCACTCACTGAAGACTGAGCCAACTCACTAGGGAACTGGTAACTGTAGAGCCTGACAGTTTCCCAGGTCCCTGTGCCCATACAGCTTCAGCTGGTGAGGGCTTGGACTCTAGGCTGCCCTGAAGATCAAGGCTTTGTCTCTCCCAGTCTTCCCATTCCTGGGTTTCTTCCCAAAATGACTACTGTGGGGTCAGTCACAGCACAAGAGCCAGCACGTCTAGAGAGGCTGGGGTGAGAAGGGATTGAGCCTAGCTGTTCTTAGAGGCCTTCTGGGGCCTGTTAAGTATCCTGAGACAGAAATGAGCATTCTAGAGTACACTGACCAAGGTATGTGGTAGGAGGCTGGATCGTGAATATCTTTGCTTCGAAAACCAAGGAATGAGACACCTTAATTTTTTAAAGCTCCTGGTTTTGTAAAGAATAGATTATGATGCATCAGTGTAAGAAAGGAGGCAGGGAAAACAGGCAGAAAGCTGCTACTATCTTCATCTAAGTGAAAGTGGGCACCTGGTAGACTAGAATGTATTTGTAGAATATACCCCATAAGGATATATAACTATTACATATCTGTAAAAAAAATTAGGAATGAGTGGTAATCACCATTCTACCTTCTACTTCTATGAGTTTAAGTTTTTTAGATCCCATATATTAGTGAGATGGGGCAGTAATTGCCTTTTTGTGCCTGACTTATTTCATTTATCATAATATCCAGGTTCATCCATATAGTCACAAATGATAGAATTTCCTTCTTTTTAAAGGCTGAATAGTATTCTATTACATCTATAGGCCTTATTTTCTTTATCCATTCATCTGTTAATGGATACCTAGGTTGATTTCATATCTTGGCTATTGTGAATAGTGCTGCAATGAACATGGGAGTGAAAATCTCTCTGACATACTGATTTCTTCTTGCCAAGTGAAATAAGCCAGACACATAAAGACAAATACCACTTGTATGTGGAATCTAAAAAACTAAAACTCAGAAGTAGAGAGTAGAACGGTGATTACCAGAGGCTGGGGAATGGGGTGGGGGAAGGAGAGAGGAAGAGGAGAAATTTTGAGCAAAGGGTACAAAGTTTCAGGTAGACAAGAGGAATGAGTTCTGTGATGTATTGCATAGCAATGTAACTGTAGTTAATAATGTATTATATAGTTCAGCATTTCAGAAAGAATAGATTTTAAGTGTTCTCACCACAAAGAAAAAGTAAGTGTTGTGGATTGAGGAGGTTCGAGATGGCTGACTAGAGACATTGGGTGCCAGTTCTTAGAACCAAAATTACAAATAGATAATTACAACCATGTGTGGTGGCTCATGTCTGTAATCCCAGCACTTTGGGAGGCTGAGGCAGGTGGATCACCTGAGGTCAGGAGTTCAAGACCAGCCTGACCAACATGGTGAAACCCCGTCTCTACTAAAAATACAAAAAGTAGCCAGGCGTGGTGGCACACGTCTGTAATCCCAGCTACTCAGGAGGCTGAGGCAGGAGAATCACTTGAACCAGGGAGGCGGAGGTTGCAGCAAGCCAAGATTGTACTCCAGCCCAGGCAATGGGGCAAGACTATACTCCAGCCTGGGCAATGGGGCAAGACTCTGTCTCAAAAACAAACAAAACAAATAGATAATCACAATTCAAATAGAGTATCAGGAGAGAATACTCGAGCCCAACAGTGAACTCATAGGAAGAAGCTGGGGCACAGAAAAAGGAAGAGAGGCCAACTTGGCCAGCAGAGATCAGCTAGGATAGGCTTGCCTTGCCCAGCTGCACCCAACTTCACTACCACCCCTCCATGACTGATCATGAAGCCCGAGCCACTATGCATTCCACAGATCAGCCCATCGCCTGATGCACAAGAAAGTTTCTCCTGGTGAACAAAGATCAAGCATAAAAGCTACTGCAACTGCTGCAGCTGGCTCTAACCTACAAGTGTCATCTACTGGACTAGATGTCAAACTATACAACCCAATATGAAAGCTGCTGACACAAGTAAACAGTGCTTGGGAACCAGATAAGCTTCAAGACCTCACCAACCTGGCTCCACAGGAGACCAAGAGCCTACGCACACACCTAGTAAACCACTACTAAAACCACATTTAGAAAGCCACTGCACTAATACTGTCTATAACCAAGGAATTCATACAGAGTCTTTGTCAATGAAAGCACTCAGAAAAGCCAAATGACCCTACTAAACATACATTATAGTCACATTCTCAAGGGAAAAAAATAGTCCCATCTAAACAGTAAATGCAAAAATAAGAAGTGATAGTTTCTTCACATAAGACACTAGTGTACAATTCTTGGCATATGAAAAAACCCAGGGTGTTATGACACCCCTAAAGGATTGTACTAACTCTGTAGCAATGGATCCTAACCAATGGACCCTAACCAAAATGAAAATGTAAAAAATGCCAGATAAATAATTTAAAATATTTTAAAGAAGCTCAGTGAGATCCAAGATAAATCATAAAATCTGTACAAAGAAATCAGAAAATAAATTCAGGATACGAATGAGAAATTCACCAAAGATATTTTTGAGAGAAAAATAAAACAAAACTTCTGGAAGTGAAAATTCATTGAAGTTACAAAATATAGCTGAAAATTTCAACAACAGATTAGACAAAGAAGCGGAATCTCAGAACTTGAAGGTCTTTCAAATTAATTTAGTCAGACAAAAATAAACAAGATTTAAAAAAATGAACAAAGCCTTCGAAAGGTATGGGACTACATACAATGTCTGAACCTATGAATCATAGGTATTCCTGAGGGAGAAGAAAAAGCAAGAAGTTTTAAAAACCTGTTGTGGTAATAATTGAGAAAAACTTCCCTACTCTGGCAAGAGATCTAGGCATCCTAAGAGGCTTAATGAACTTCAAAAAAATGCATTGCAAGTAGGTCCTCACTATGATATTTATTCATCAGACTAAGTTTAATGCGAAGGAAAAAACCTCCTAAAATCAGTAAAAGAATCTAGTCACCTATGAAGCAAATCCCATCAGACTAACAGCAGACTTCTCAGCAGAAAACTTACAAGCTAGAAGGAACTAGAATTCTATTTTCAAAGGTGTTTTGTTTAAAGAAATAAAAACTGTTAACCCCAAGTTATTGTATCCTTCTACAATAAGCTTTATAAATGAATAAATAAAGTCTTTCTCAGACAAGCAAACAGTGAGGGAATGTGTCACCACTAGACTTGTACTACAGGAAATACTGGAAGGAGTTCTAAACATGGAAATAAAAGGTTGATACTTGCCATCATAAAAACACACAAAAGTATGGAATACACGAGTCTTATAAAGCAATTACACAAAGGAGAAAGAAATCAAATGATAACATGACAGAATTCCATCAAATCACAAAGAAAAGGAACAACAAAAAATCTGCAAAGCAACTAGAAATCAACATTGTAACTGGAAAAAAAGGTCATATATCAATATTAACCTTCAACATACATGGATTAAATGTTCTTCTTAAAAGATATAAATTGGAAGAATAGATTTTAAAACATAAGCCAAATATATGTTGCTTTAAAAAAAAACTAATCTTACTTCACTATAGACTGAAGGTTAGAAAAAGATTCCACTTTTCCCCCTTTGCTTCACAAAAAGCAAACTGGAGTAGCTATACTTATATTAATTGAAAGAGACGTTCAACCAGCAATAGTTTAAGAAAAGGCAAAGAAGGTTATTATATAATGATAAAAGGATCAATTCAAGAAGATATAACAATCCTAAATATATATAAATCCATATCAGAGTACCTAGATTCATAAAACAAATACTAGACCTAAAGACAGCAAAACAACAATAATAGCGGGAGACTTTGACACCCCACTAACAGCACTAGACAGATCAAGACAGAAAATAAACAAAGGAAGTCTGAATTTAAATTGGACTTTAGACCAAATGAACCTAACACACATTTACAGAACCTTCTACTCAACAACTGCAGAATATACATTCTTTTCATCAGTTCATGGAACATTCCTTGAAATAGACCATATGTTAGGCTACAAAACAAGGCTCAATAAATTTTTTAAAAATTGAAATTGTATCAAGTATCTTCTCAAACTACAGTGAAATAAAACTAGAAATCAATCTCAAGACAAACTCCCAAAACTATGCAAATGCATGGAAATTAAACAACTGCTCCTAAACAATCTTTAGGTCAATGACAAAATTAAGACAGAAATTAAGTTTTTTGAAACTAAAATGGAGACACATCAAAACCTCTGATACAGCAAAATCAGTTTTAAGAAGTTTATAACATTAAATGCTTACATTAAAAAAAAATACAAATTAACAACCTAACAATGCAACTCAAAGAAAAAG